CCATTGGCTTTCTTGGCAGCCAGGGCACACTGCTGGCTCATGGTTAACCTGTCGTCCACCAGGACACCCAGGTCCCTCTCCGCAGAGCTGCTCTCCAGCAGGTCCACCCCAAGCCTGTACTGGTGCATGAGGTTGTTCCTCCCCAGGTGCAGGACCCTGCTAGACAGCTTTATCAGCAAAACCACGCTGTGACCCAGGCTTTTAGGTACTTTCACATTAATGAAGAAGTCTGGAAACGTGCACGGCGAATACGCCCTGCCCGACACGAACGGCACCGCCGCCTTCTTCAAGCCCCCGCGCAGCACGCGAGGTTTACGCTGTACGTGTTTTACTCGCTGTACGCGTCCAGAGAGCTCCTTCAGCAGACCCGCCGCGGTGCCCGGTCCTGTGAGGAGAATGCAGCTTTGCTCATTACTGCCAAACAGCTAAAAAAAAATGACAAAGTGCCTAAAGGTTTTGGTACAGATTGCTCGCACCTGCAGAAGGAAGCACCTGGGGTCTGCTGGCTAGAAACAGCGCGGGTGCAGAAGGGGAAGGGATGCTGCTGCTTGTTCCTCCAGCACAGAGGGTCACAGAATCACAGAATCACAGAACAGTAGGGGTTGGAAGGGACCTCTGTGGGTCACCCAGTCCAACCCCCTGCCCAAGCAGGGTCACCCAGAGCAGGCTGCACAGGACCTTGTCCAGGCGGGTCTTGAATATCTCCAGAGAAGGAGACTCCACAACCTCCCTGGGCAGCCTGTTCCACTGCTCCTTCACCCTCAGAGGGAAGAAGTTCTTCCTCATGTTCAGACGGAAAAGGTTCCCCTCCTGGAGTTTCCCCGTGCTGGCATGAGCTGGGTTACAGCGAAGGCACAACAGATAGGCAGTGGGCACGATGCAAAGCTGTCGTCAGTCTGATGATGTGTTTCTTACCCACAACTTCACTGTCCCCCTCCATCAGGCTTAAAAAAAACCACCCGAGTATTTTCACGCGTTGCAGGTAGGATGAGAACAACTGCATCTCAGTAGTAGGGTGTTTCAGAGAATCAGGGAATATAGCACAGATGAAAATGTCTGAAGATGACTAGGCATTACAGTGAAGACACAAACTAAAATGAAGGTGCAAACGTTGGCCAGGTCTGCAAAGCCCCGGATTTTCCCCCTTCACCCCCTAATTCTCTACTCAACCTCTGACTCGGGCACAAGACCTGGAGCAATTTAGAGATTATCTGCTAGCTGCCTACAAGTGAACTTCAATGCCATCTTTCCTACTTCCCAGCTAACTAGAAAGGGAACTAAGCTGTTCCGTGCAGGGGAAGGAACCAATTAATTTATTTCTTTGTCCTTTAGAGCAATGTTTAGAAGCACACATATAACTAAAACCTCCCTTTTTCTGAGCTCGCCCCTGTGCAATTTCTTGCTCAGGGCAGCTTGGGAAGGTATAGCATAGCACATTTCTATCAGGGAAACTATTTTTGTTTCATTAGCTAAAAAAAAAAAACCCAGTTGGAAATTTTTTTAAATCTTGATTTCTAGTCAGCAGATTTAAAGTTACAGAACCTTCCAGCTTCTACCTCTGGCAAATGAAATGACTCCAGAAATGCGGATTTCCCACGTTTCCCTGCCGACAGACTAACAGGGCAGCAGGCAGGCCTGGCTCTTCAGCACGTCCCCCCAGAGCAGCCATTGGGACTGAAACCATCGATGCTGGGTGTCCCCCTAAAGCGATGTTTCCAGGGGAAGTTTTAGCAGAACTCAGCTCAGCTTTTTGACAGATTAGGAGAATATAGGCTGCAGGGAAGAGGTCTAAAACCGAAGACAGCGTAAAACAGGGGAACTATGAGAAGACTGAATTACTAAAACAAGATAGGTAGCCAGAAGGGATAAAAGAGAAATTCACTGATAAAACTACCGGGGGGACAAACTGCCTTGTAGGAGCTTCTGCTCCTCTGCAAGTCCAACCCTACAGCACCGCAGCCTCTGCAAGAAGCGCAGCATTTCACTAGTGAGGATGCCAAAGCTACTCTTAAGCCCAGACGCAATGATACACGCCGCACCTTTGCGTGACAAGAGCTGCATGGAGTTGGGTGGTTTCTCTTTAAGACAGAACACCTTTTAGAAACAGAAATTAAGACTCAGATTAAAGCATTCAGGACGCACTGACAACCCGGGTGTCCGAGGGCACTGGACCCTGCAGGCTGTTCGTACCTGTCGGTGCCAGACCAGGAGGATCCGCACGTGCCACCGACTGCTCCTACAACGTGCTCCTGTTTTGGACCCTCCTCAGTTCTTGGGCTCTTGCACCCAAGTAGTAGATACAGGAGACTTCAGAAAAATATAACCAATGCCCTCACGGGACAAATAAATCATTTCAAGAGAAAACCTTAACTTTTCCACAACAGACGTTGGGTTTTTTAAAAATACAATTCAATCCTGAACACAGTAATACTAAAAAATATTCAGAGCTCTTTCAAACCTGTTCTGTGAAGGAACATCTTGAAGAATTCATGCTAGACTTCCCCCTAGTCACAAAGGTCAGAAACACTCAATAGCTTTTACAAGGCTACTTTAGCTTCTGGAAGTAAACTTTTTACTAGATCGAATCACTAGCCAATTTCTGCACAGGGAGGAACAAACTAACTTAAATCAGTACTAAATCACTGTAGTTGTTGGAGAGAAGAATTACAAAAAACTGTGTCGCCTATTAATTTGGCTACTTTTTACTCCTTTGAAATTTTGAATTAATACATGCTGGTTTTCAGTATTTAATTTTGTCTTTGGCATTGAAGTTCTAAGGTGCACTCCAGCTATTCAAGAGAAATATGTTAATGGAATCTACAAAATTTAACTGTCCATACAACAGTGGCAAATAAACCAGGTTAAAATCATGGTGATGCAAGTTAACTAGGTAGCACAGAGCCCTCGCGGAAGCAGATCACTTGTAAAGGTTAGATATAGTGATTATTATTAAAGTTAATAAAAATGGCAATTCAAAGTGACATAAATAGTAGACATAGATAAGGAGACAAAATCCTAAGATATCACTAGTATGGCAAAATCAGGTAACTAAATGATGGTCATTTTCATCATCTTTTTATTTCCTACTCTCTTTAATGAATTTACATTCTTTCTCATCTTATCTCTAGACTGTAAGATGCTTAGTAAAAAAAAAAAAGGACCTTACTGGCCTGACAACGCTGACCATGCCTTGGATCCTAAGCGTTTGTGACTTTCAGGCTGAAATAGGAAAGTTAACAGAGATTGCTTAAAAGTGTATTAAGCTCATTTTCGAGTGATTAATGCTTATCTGGATCCCGTTCTTCCGAGACGTGGCATGCACTAATGCCATGTCATCCAATTAATGTCACCCAGAAGGAGACACGATGGTTATTCTTTAATTCCTGCTTCACCTAGCCGACTTAAATGCTGAGAGTTAAGCCGCTCCACAAATGCTTGCAGGATTTGGGCCTTAACATTACCAACTAGGTAATAAAAAGGTAAACAGAAGGGGTGTCGACTGAGATGAGAAGGCTCAGGCTGAGTAGGAGGAGAAGGTTTTCTTTGAGGCAGAAAGCAGAGGAACAGGCTGCCCAGAGCCTGCGCAGGCTCCGTCCTTCGAGGTTTCAAGAGGAAACTGGATAAAGCCCTCAGCAACCCAGTCCCAAACCTGAATTACTCCGATTCGGTGATCTTACCAAGTAACCAACATGTCAAACTGTCAGCACCTAATGTCTTAAAATTATTCGTGTTAATAACTTGTGACTGTGTTAGAAAAGAAGAAACCCCGTCCGTATTTCTAAGCTTGTCGCTAGGTACCCTCCCACAGTCCATATGCTCAGAACCAAATGGTTATGACTCCTCAAACTGTTTTCAATCCCTTATACAGCAACAAAATTAGAAAAAGTTCGCTCTATTGCCAACATGCAAAAAATAAACTCATTAACATATATTCTGAAAAACCACTTAAAAAAATGTGAAGCCCAACCCAGAAAACCCGGCACACCGATCCGTGCTGCGCCGCGCCAGGGTTCAGAAGAAGGGCTTGGCCAGGGAGCGCAGCAGCCTGAGCGAGGTGCCCCAAGTGCCCACCTTGGCC